TTAGATTCTTTTATGACAAACTATACTATTGATCATTTTCCTCTTCCAATTTGGGGAAGTTGAATGATGTTTACAGTGTAAAGCGCAGACATTGGTAAGCTCTACTCCTCCAATGTATCAGCATACATTTTATAGGCTCATAACATGGAGAACTGAATTGTTATCAATTTGGTTGATTGATGGATTTTGCTCAATTGATCAATTTCAAACAATCATTTGATTTTGATTGATTGTTCAACTTCAACTTCAACTTCAACTCTGATTTGTTGTGACTGTTTTTCTTGAAGCAATTGAACAAAAGAAAGGTGGGATGAATTGATAGCAAAATTTATTTTCAAATTAGGAACCAAGTAACCATGGGTGAGAGGAGTAAGAGAAAGACTGACACAAGCAGTCGGATAGATAGCTCCTCCAAGAAATTGGTGTGAAGACTGTGTTGATTCCTTGAAGTGTTTTATGGTGATGGCAGTGTAAGTTTGACATCTGATGAATAGTATGACAATAGCCTGACACCTGTAGGGCTAAGAGGAATTTGTGGCAAGATAAAAGTGAGGTGATAGGGATGGGGCAATTGTGGGGCTCTCAAAGCAATCAAGGAAGGTCCAAAAGCTGTGACATCCAAAAACAATCTTGGAGGTGTCTCAGAAGCTTCTGGTTATCACTTTTCAACTCTTCTGGGACATGTTTCTGAAGTTTTGAATGTGAGAAAATGACAATGGTGACCTTTGAGATAGGCAAAGACAAGAAATTCAGTTGTGTGTTGACAGACAGCACTGATAAAATAAGAAGACAATGGAGCTCTAAGCTCACTGACCTATGGAAGTAGGGGAAATAAAAGAGAAAAACAAGAGTGAACATAACAAGTGAAAAGATATCAGGTTTAGTACGTACAAAGACAAACAAGAAAAAATCAAAATACTATACCTTTTGTCTACAACGCTGAGACAGCTACACTACAACACGCTAACATACATTTTGTGTGTAGCATAGCTGTATGCAGTTAACAAGAATCTGACCTTTATGATAGTGTAGCTTGTCAAGTTACACTACACTACAAGCTACTGTAGCTGATTTCTGTGCCTTTACACTATGCTACAGGGCCAAAATTTGGTTAGCTGGAGATTTCCTGGGACTCTGTGTAGACACCATGTTGGTATTCTTGTAGCACGTCGACGTGCACACACGGAGAGTTTTGAAAAAAAACAGAAAGCTGTTTGGTAGGCTTTAGACTGAGATTGGTGCCGAGCACCCTTTGTGAATGACAATTTGACAAAAGAATTTGTGGGATCCTTTGTCAGCAGTTGGGGTCAACTGAGTGCCAACATCCCAGTTGACAAAGGGAAGACATGCCTATTGTGGAGACCTCTTTAATGGGTCTTTCAAGTATGTATTGAAAGTATTTGGTGTGTGCATGTCGATGTGCTACACGGATACGGACACGGTGAGAGTAGCTGGGCCACATCCATGCTGATTCCCATTAGCTGTAGCTTAGTGGCATGTCTTTAGCTACACTATCTTATGTTATCAGCTACAAGCAGATTAGCTGTCTCAGCCTTGCTATAGACATATTGTTCCCAAATGAAAGATATGAGGAACAAGAAATCTAAAGGGGACAAATACACCACTACATATATATAGAACAAAAACTGCAAGCACAAAGTTTATACCCCTGAATTTGATAATCCAGTAAATTTTTACCACCCCCTTGCATCTTCAAAAAACACAAACACTAGTCACCCATCAACCATTGTCTTCAACATTCTGAAGTATCTTCAGATGAGATCTACACCACACAGCCCACAATTTTTTTCAGGACTGAGGTTTGTCTTGACCAACAAACAATGATCTCCAACATTGGATACCCCTAATCTGGTTGCTTTGATAAAAAACTCATCAAAAAAAATGTCTTCTGAGCATCTCACTCTAAAATCTCTCTGTTTCTGCTTAAAAAATCAAGAATTTTTCATTTGCCTCCCACCTACCCATATTTTCCGAGGTAGAGGTTGAAAATTTTTATATTCTTTCACTATGGACTTTCAATTTTGTAAAAATGTGGCAACATTTTGTTGGATCTTTTCTAGAAAATAGTTCCACCCACAAAACTTTTGAGTTGTTTTGCTTGTTGCTTATTGGTTCTTTGGCTGGTTTGTTGCGTTTTTTCCTTTTCTCTTTCTAGTCATATTTAGTTCTATCTTTTGCTATCTTTGCTCTCTCAAGCACACCAATGTTACTCATAGTATTCATGCATAAACCCATATGCTAAATCAACCCAAATCACAAACCCATTCCCTCACAAAAAGCACATTTTGACAATTTGTATGAAACTCTTCCCTGAAAAAAGATACAAATCCAGTCAAACACTTGAAGGAAACTATATATGAAGAAAGTTAAGAAACATTGTTTGGGTGAGTTCTTCTGTTGGCCTTGATTACCAAAAACCTTGAAAGCTTTCAAGCATTCTTCTAGTTAATTGTCTCTATTAATCTAAACATCACTCAGAATCCCAATCCAAAGGGGCCATATCAATTTATCTGTACCAGAAAAGCCAGTATTAACGGTGGATATAGCTTATCTGGGCTCACATTCAATGAAAAGTTTGAAACTTGTCCCTTCATAAGAAGAGCTATACAGCACATATACATGCCAGCTGTTCTTATGAATTGGTTACTTCAAAATGTGCTTTAATTTGAAAAAATCAGCATGGTCAAGAATATTTTGTCAACTCCAGGCCCAGAAACACTGTCTCAAACCTTTATATAAGGTGGTATTTTTTTCTTTTTATATCCATTGCTTGTGTTGATGGAAATGCAAAGAAATTCTGGAATAGTAATGCAAGGCCTCTTTAGGATAAAGTAGAGTTGGAAATGACTCATTTCCATCTGTTTGTGAGCCATACAGAGCCATGAACCTTGGCCATAGAACCTAGAGTCAAATTTGACATTCATTCTAGATTTTCTTGGAATGGGGTGTGTGATGAACTGTCTCCATTAATGTAATTATTTGTGAAGATAGCAAATCCTCACAGTACATTCATAATTTCACCAAGTTTCTAAAGTTCTATATATGAAAGTGGCATAATATATTTATTTGTGAAGATAGCAAATGCTCTCAGTATGAACATTCAGCAGTTCAGCAAAGTCTTATATAAGGGAGTGGAAAGACTTCGTGGGAATGGATCAAGGTGTGCACAAAGCACAGGAGATTGTGTGGATATTGTGCAGCACTCTCACTGATTACAGCAACCGGTACTACAGAGGACACAAATGGAGGTTCAAGGTAGGCATCACAACACTCAAGCCAAATCACTTTGTGTTCAGATACCACCTAAGCTTAACTGATCCCCTTTTCCAATACGGCCACATCAGCTCTCAAAGAGGGGCTTATGACCAAAACCCCGGGTTTGGCCTGAGCACAGCAAGATTCTCAAGCACATTTGCTTGAAACCCCAATATGAGGGCTCAAAACATCATGAAACCTCACAAAAAACTGAGAAGAGCTTCCTCATGGTCTTCTGTGTCTCATTGTACCACTTTTAGCATGTCAATTCTTGTGGATTGCAAGGAAATTGGACTGCAAGATCAAGTCATTTTGAACGGGTCAAGCGTGCGTGTAGGCCTTTTATAAGTGAATACGAGCCAGAGTTACAAGAACTTAACAACTTGACTGTACGTCAATTTGCTTAAGTAAGGTGGTGCTGATAGTGGCACGAGCGTGTGTACCAGGCTTACAAGCTGTTCTGCTCAGGTTTTTGTGCGGTTACACAATGTCTAGAGCCCTCACAATGGGATCTCACCCAAATTACTTGAAAATCTTGCTGTGCTCAGGCCAAACCTGAGGTTTTAGTCATTCAAGAGCGGACGTGACCGCGTCGGAAGAGGGGCTTGCTTAAGCTTAGATATCAGCAAGGGAATTTAAAATGTAACCAGAACAAAGGAAATGATCGATTTTCTCAATCCAATCAGTCTTCAATGAGTCAAAATTCAACCTGAGCTGTTTGGAAAAATCTCAATCTGTTTGTATCATGTCTTGGCATTTCTTGGCAGCTTAAACTCGTGGAGTGAATCAAGCGCCCAATGGACTTGCGCGGCACACGTACGGTAAAAAATCTCCGACTGATAAGCGCCGAGAAGCATTCGATCGGTGGAGAATACATAGACAAAAAATGATAAGGTCAAGGCTGGGCTCGTAAAGTTTTCTCAAGATAGAAGTGTTTGAAAATTGCCAAGGATTATCAAATCCATTGACGATCATGGACCAAGCTATAGCTCAGCTAAAGCGACGAGCACAATGCAGCCTCTTATCGTCGAACCCCTCGAACGTGTTGTGTGAGGGGGGGCCGAGGAGTCGTTGAATGCGGGAATCTTCCGCTCCGTTTGGTTTTGTATCATATGACGATACATTTGAAAAGGACAAAGCTGGACAAAGCTGGACAAAGCTAGACAAAGCTATGGTTGAAGCCAGACAGTTTGAGTTCCATGGATCTTGATTCTTAACTTTGAGGCGTGGCTAATCAAAAGTTTATAAGAGTCAGAAATTAATTCTGAAGATATTCCATGGAAGCTCTTCATGATGTGTACATACCATAAATGAAGCTTCTTATGATTGAGTTTTTATTTCAAGAAAGGTGAATCGATTGGATTGAAAGTTTGATTCGAACATTTTGGTTTGATTACCAGATGACCCAATCTTTTCCATCCACTTAAGTCGTTCTCGGGATCTGTTCCATTACTTTTTGGTTTTTCTCTTCTCGCTTGAAAAGTATTTACCTGACAAGGATATATGTAGACCTTTCCTTCGAATAGAACTCGTTATATTCAATCTGTAGATCTCGTCGAAATTGTGTCCTTTGATGCTCGCTTATCACACCTTACCACTCCACATCCCGCTTATAAATCATTCTTACTTTTGACATATCCAACCCAATTGACCTTTTAACTTCCGTCTTTGGCGATTGTTTATTCACGACTCACTGTATTTTTTGGTACAAATTTAGTATCAGGATGTTAACCTATTCTGACCTCGACGCGCTCAGCTTGAAGCGCACGGCCAAGGTCCGATCCAATTACAGCAGGTATTACTGTTGGCTTGTCTCACTCGGCCTTACTGCTCGCCGTTTACTACCACCTCTCAACAAACATTATTCAGTGTCGACGGCTTCTTCCATTAGTGGGAGCTGTGCCAGCAGTCATGATTCGAGTTCTAAATCATCAAGAGAAGTAATGTCAACAAACAGCATCAGTACCTCATCCCTACGGTTGAATTTACCGTCGACCAGTAGTCATAGTCCAGTATCAGACTTCGACGAAGCACTATGTTTATCAGCAGATGAAGATGAAGAAGCACACAAGGCTCGAGTTGAGAATTTGTTATGGGAAGCCCAAGTGAGTACATATTATTAAACGCCACTCGTCGATCATCCCTACTATTATTAGATGAAACGTCATGAACGTAAAGCTGATGTTGGTGGATATGGACTTTGTAGATGAGTTTTGTGAACCACAAACTTCAGTTGGCCGTCGATCGTTTCACCGTTGCAGCGAAACTGGGCTCCAGTGCAGCTTGCTTGAACCTAGCCAGGTGAGTACTTTAGCCGTCTGGGTGCACGAATAGCTTGAAGAAGTGGCATAGTATCTCGAAGACTAACTCGATGGAATCCTAGTATTTATCTTGCCGAACTCGTTTCTCAAGCTGCACCGGCAAGTCCTAAAAGCCCAACGTTAAGCTCTCCTACCAATTCCTTCTTCAATCCAATCTCCAATAATGGAGTTCAAGAAACCATCCTAGCAGATCAACTTCAACGTATCGATACTGGTGCTCGTTGGCTCATCACTGGCTTACAATATCAACTTGAGCCTGTACCGAGTAGACGAAGGAGCTATTATTCTGAACGTCTACACTTGTCTCCATCTCAACCTCCACCAAACTCTTGTAGTTCATCCAATTCTGCTACAATAAAGTTGGATCTTAATTTATCATTGGATCTTGTTTCACTTCTTGTCTCTCTCTATTGTCATGGCAAACTTAAACCACCCCTCGAAGCTGTTTCAGGCTCTAGGGTCGGTCAATCTACTCTTTGGGAAGATGGTGCCGCCATCGCTCTTCGTCTACTCAATCATTCAAGTTTTTATCCAACTTTCATCGGTACTGAACAATCATCAACTTCTCCACCTACTTCCCCCTCTTCCGCCTCTCGCTCGGCCTCGCCTAATCGCCCTCGAAGCCAGACCCTTCCTTCTATCTCACAACCACAGCCTCGATCGCTTAGCCAAGACACAAAACTTACCCGAACAATCGTTATCTTGCTCTCATATTTATTAGCTCTCGCTCGTTGGCCATTTGAAAATCCCCATCCAAGTCTCTCGCCAATTCTAATCGATTCAACTTCAAATTTTTCTCATTGGGGTCAAGCTCAAGCTCGTCAATTGTGGTTTGTGATCATCAGGGTTTCGGAATTGCCGGGTGGAGTCGGTACCAAGGCTGCTGACGCATTCGTCCAAAAAGCGTATGAACGCTTAAACGCTCTTGAACGCCCTCGAGCACCGCCAGAAACTGTTCTACCCACCCGTCCGTCTTACCGACACAGCCGCAATCATTCTATGTTACCAGTGATGCCAACGAGTGTACCACCCGCTGTTGACAGTGATTGGGCAAAACCAATGGTTTCAAAACCTACCAATTTTCGTCGATCGTCTACTTCACCTGCACTTTGTCTTCCTCGGCTCACCACTGGCTTAGCTCGACCAAGTAGCGTGATTAGTCTTCCTGCCCAACCGCTAGCCTCGACCACCAAGGTCACAGCACCTTCTTTTTTCCTTGGTCGTCGGCATGGACAAAGTCGTAGCTCTATCACCACCCCAGCGGTCCCAGCTATCACAATTGACTTTTATTGCGCTTCGAGTACTTCCGAACAACCCGAAGCACCTTTGAATTCAATTGCCTCCTCATCAGGTGGTTTGTCAATTGAAGAAAGGCTTCAGAATGTCCTTGTAGCAGATGAACAATCTCGTTTGTCAGGATACTTTGATTGGGGTATAGATGAAGATTTGGAAGAAGAAGAGGAAGATGAGGATTGGGAGTATGATGAAGAGACGAACCCAAAAGCGAAATATAAGAATGTGAAGGGTCGAGATGATGACGAGGAGAGCTCGTCGTTAGCGGTGGGGATGGATCCAGTCTTACAGGCTCTTGAGGCAGATAGTCGGTTGAATGTGGAGGTAAGTGCTTTTTGGAATGGATCGTGAGCTCAAGTTGAGAGAGCTGATACCTTTCATCAATCTTACAGGCCATGTGTGCAGTATGTGGGGTGATGGGGACCAACTGTCCAACTTGTCAGTCTTTTCCCTACTCCTTCATCATGTCCTTCATTTGTATTTGACGAGCTTACATGAGAGGACTGCACACCCTTAGGTCCTAAATGTGGCCTCGTGTTCTGTAGTCGCGCTTGTCGCACAATGGCCTCTACAACTGGACCACACGCCACATGCGGGCAAAGTCGCAGAAACGCTTCGGTTTCTGATTTATCATCGATCTCATCGATTGGAAGAGAGTGATGTGTAATAACGGTGTAACAATAACATTTCGAAGTCTCAATATATATTTTTTCCAAGGGCACTGAGACGCCTCTCAATCATTATAACACAGAATATTATAGTATTCTTTTCTCTACGTATTCACGATTGTAATTTAAGTACTTCTTTATGAATTCGATGATGAGATGACTTGTGCATTGGTAGTAGAAAAAGTAAATGATAAAAGTATTGATTTATAGCATTAATATCATCTGCGATCATCATCTGTTTTATCTGGTACAATTGTAATTAAATCTATGCGGGGCAAAGCTGCCTCGTAATTTAAAAAACAAGAATTTCTGAAGTTGCTGCCCCCTGACATCTGTTGACATTTTGGAGGGATGCTGAATGCTTTCTGAAATGCATGGGTATCATGTGTGATCATCCAAGGCTAGACTTTCTAAGTCAGGCTTGCTACAATGAAGGAGCGTTCAAGACAGTCGATCAATTGGAGAAGTGATGTATATAAGTAAGAAATTGGCACAAAGCAACTTTGGAATAGACACCTTTGATCTTAGAAGGAGGTTATGACCAAAGATTCACCAATCAGGGCGAGACTCACATTGGTATGCTAATAGGACAGTGAGAGGATCATCAACAATAAGACGATATCCTCGAAGTCACACACAAACACAGGGTAATCACTCATCTTATGATACCCTTGACTCACCCCAAAACCTCTCAATCAAATGCAGTCTGTGATTGGGGTGCCACAGACACTCAGTCTGCTGTTACTCAGATGCTTGTGACAGAACTCAAGTATTAACCTCTGAATTTCTTCAGAGTTGCAAACAAATCTTAGTTGCTACTACTAGTCCACTCCAACGCTCAAGGGTTTGCCTTTTAGTGTGCACCACTTCTTCTATCCACTTCATTATAAGTGAAGAAGATTGCACAAATAGTAAAAATGACACACATCATAGGTGATGTGAATATGGTGGCAGTGTTTTTGGAACTTCTCAGGAGGCTGGAGAGCTTGATCCCGAACTTAACAAAGTCCCTCTCAGGCGGTAAAACCCGGGTCAAGTTCGGCTTGATCCGTGGATGAACTAATTGAGAAGTCCTTGAAACCTTTTTTAAGATCACCTGTTGGTATCTATTTAACCATAGATGATCACAAATCAAGATGACTCAAATTGAGCTATTGATATGAAATCAATTCTACCTTCACACTTCTTAGCAAATCATTCTTCAACCACTCTAGAAACTTCTATCTATTGCCAATGTTCATGATTAGCTGAACAGATTTCTTTCATATGGTGCACCAATGATCAATTAGAGACGATAGGCTGAGGTGATTTCAGATTGTTAGGACAGATCCTTCAAAAATACTTTCAACTGAGACAACCGCATTCACAACAAAAACAACGTGATCACATAATCAAAACAACCAAATGTCAAATATAGAACAGAAAGGAACATCAGAGGATTATGTTATATTGATCACTTCATCATGAATCACAGGCCCACATATCGGTTGATTCTAGAGACCAAGTTCACTAGTCTTGTGAATGAGACTTTCGACACCAAAACATGAACTCATCACAGTCTTCATACCACCACCCACCATAATTCAATTGATCATGTCAGCAGTTCACTTAGCCGCACTTGTATTCTTTTCCAATTCCGTCAGGCCTCCATGAAGGGATTTTTGAAATGGACATAATCAATTATGAGCTTGTCATGTCTTGCTCAGGTCATCACTGCTCACGCATTTTTCTACCACACCAGCTGCTTAAAAACATCACGCCTTGAAGCATTGAGAAATTCGATTGGAATTTTTTGATTAGGGAACTTGTTCAGGCACCCAATCGAAGAAACGGATGACTATAAAACCCATGTGATGTTAGCTTAACTGTTCCTTCAATTCCTTCATCCATTTGAATCTTATTTCAGTCACCATCTTCAAATCAATCTTCAAAGCTTTCTATAACTCGCTTTCAAAAATCAACAACATTTCCTTCTCTTGGGTCCAACAGAATCACGTTGAATATCCATAACTCTTGAAATCTTTCCAATATACTAAAAATGTCTCGCAATCTCAAATCTTCTTGTAACTGCTCTTTGGATTTTGGTGAGGACTATTTCTAAATTATATCTTTCTTTCATTCTTTCTTTTCAGTTTCCATTAGACAGTAGGGTGGAACCGTATCGGCTCCAGTGCTTCCCTTGAGCTCTCCAAACAATAAACAATATTTCGTGTGGATCTATGTCTTTCTTTCTTCATCATATCAATGGCTCTTTAAACCACATTTGAAAAACCTAATGCATCATTTTTCGTGACGCCATCCAACAGCTCAACGAGGCCCGACTCCGAGCGATGAACAATCAAATCAACGCTCGGTCGATGACAAGAATACCACCCGGACCGAAGTTATCTCCGGTCCTTCTCTACTCGAACTTCAACACGGTCCATCAGTTCAGAGTCGCGTTGTGAAAAACAGATCAAGGTCTCAATCAGTACCTTGCAACTTTCCTCAAAGTTCTACACTTCATCCAACTCGAACTTACTCTTCTACAAGTCATTCTCAAGTAGAACGGAGCCCTTCATCAATCTTTCAAACTATACAATACCCGTAAGTCTTTTCCCCAAGATGTGCTTTCATTTTGACTGTAAGACTGATATTTCATTTGTTACTTTCATTATTGGCTTGGCTTTGCGAAAAAGATATGGAGAAGAATCAGAAACTGACATCTCAGTTTGTGAAACATCGATATCAATCTCTACCGATGATTCAATAGCAACAAGCACGTCAAAAGACAACCAGGTCTCTGAACCTTCAACAACCGATGGCGATGATGATGAATCCATCTCATCAAAGCCTGATCGATTCTTTGATGAAGATGTAACATTCCCTCCGGTTCCATCTATCATTGAAGGTCCTTTAGATTTTTCTTTGATTGAAGAAGTCAGATGGGGAGATTGGGCTAAACGAAGGATTGCAAGAATGGTGGAAAAAGAGCCTGTTGTAGTACCAAAAGTTCTCAATGCCGAGTGTGATGGTATACCTCTTGCTGTGAAGCAAGATATCATTACTTGGTTAATTGACGTGCGTTGATTTTTCTTCTTCATCTTGGCATCAACGTGTTGCTAATATTTTTTGATACGAATAGTTCGAACATGGGTTCGACGACTATCCAAGTATATCCATCCCTACAAGACACCGAGCCATTATACTGTTTCATCAGTTTTGTGCTTTGGATACCATGTCGAACATTGATACCGATCGGATCAAACTCCGAGCACATCGGATCGGCGTGGCTTGTCTTACATTGGCATGTAAGGTAGACATCGATTTCTTGGCACCATTAGAGGTGATTCCATTGTTATTATGGGAATGGAGTATAGCAAATTCTGGTTGGGTTTATATCTACGCTGAACAAATTGGGGTTCGTAGATTTTTTTTCCCTACATCTATTTTTTGAGATGGTTTCCTAACTTTTGATTCTCTTGAACTACTTATCAGATGTTCGAGCAGATTAACTTGGAGACCTTGTCCTATCATGTTATATTCCCCACACCATGCGATTTTCTTACTGAGCTTTTAATTGCTATACCCATGTTGGAAAATCTTGTCTATCATTGTGTAGAGGATTGGAAGCTTGTGGAAGAAGCGTTCAGTTTGATATACGAGCACGCGTATCATCGTGCGTTTTTCTTACATTTTTCAGTTGATCATGATGGGTTACTGATGATTTGGAAATCCGTTAGCAGATTCGGGATATCCTGATCATCGGCCATATGTTCTTACAGTCGCCGTCTTACTAACTTGTTTGGATGAATGTATCTTTGATCATCCTCGTTCACAAACCGTAAAACTTGGCCAAGTTTGGTGGAGGGATGTAAATGGAGTTTGGACAGAGACAAGGGTACAAGATTCATTAGAACAGGTATCTTGTAACCTTGCTAGTGATAAGAAGAAGGGAGAATGGGTTAATCTGAGTGGAGAAGTTATGGTGACTTCTATCTGTGAGATCATGGATTTGAAGCAGGTTAGTCTTCTTTCTTTCTTTTAGACTTGATCAATGTATCATTCCTAGCAGTGACTGACATGAGTCTCTTTTGTTTTGTTTTAAAAGTCTGAAGTAGATGAGTGTAAAAAGTGGTGTGCAGCTCTTTGAGTAAAAAAAGGCTTTTGTACATGAAAATTCCGCTTTCTTTCCTATTTCGGAACTTTTTTTTCTTCAATTTTTTTGTTATCTAGTTTCATCCTGATAGTTTTCTTTGGATTGCTTGTGTACAACAAATGGTGAATGTAATGATGCGGCAGCTTCAGTTTTTATAGTTGCCAATAAAAAAACATTGTTTGGGCGCTATGTCGCCTTGTAAAGTTGATAAATTCGCATCAGAGTTTTGGAATTGCCTTGGATTGTAAACATCTGTCATTGACGCATGCTGTGCCACAGGCGATTGTAAGTGACAACTACGTCTTGGCGCCAATGGCAACATTTGAAACAGACAAATTGCCTTCCTCCCGAGGAACTTGTACATTCATTGGAAAGGTGTTCAAGTGAAATCTGAGTAGTTCTGTGTACATGCCAAATAATTATGCTTTTGCATTCACCTCATTTCAAGGCTGTTAACAGTTGTGGGTTTCTTGTCACGAGAGCCGGATTTCTAGCCGCTGTTGAATTGGAGTGGAGTGTTGATAGCATCCCAGAACGGCAGTGATCACTCTACACGACTTCCTGATGTTCATAGAGGTACTTTGGAAACTCCAACAAATCAACAAGATAGCATTTGTATTGCTGTCAAGCAGCTTTCGACAAGGCGGTCGAATTGACCAACATATCGGTTGACTTCAGAGTCTGAGACCAAGTCACTCAAGTCAAGTGTGAATAAGAATTTACCCAAGAATGAACTCGACACATTCTTCATGTAGCACCATCCCACAAAACTTAGTTGATCATGTCAGCAGTTCTTTTGCAATTCCACCAGGCGGTGCGTCCATCACATTTTGAAGATGTACATACTCAATTAAACAGCTCGCCATCTCTTGCTCAGGTCATCCCTGCTTGCCCATATCTCTACCACCCACTGGTCTAAAAACATTATTCATCGAAGCATTGACAAATTCGATCGGAATTTTTTGATTAGGGAACTTGTTCAGGCACCCAATCAGAGAAAAGGATGACTATAAAACCCATGTGATGTTAGCTATTCTGTTCCTTCAATTCCTTCATCCATCTGAATCTTTTTTTAAAGTCATCATTTTAAAATCAATCTTCAAAGCTTTCCATTACTCGATTCAAAAATCGCCAATATTTCCTTTTTTCTTGCGTCCAACAGAATTACGTTGAATAACCATAACTCTTGAATATACTAAAAATGTCTCGCAATATCAAATCTTCTTGTAGCTGTTCTTTGGGTTTTGGTGAACACTTTTTCTATATCATATCTTCCTCTCATTCTTTCTTTTCAATCTCCATCACTTCAGACAGTAGGATGGAATCGTATCAACTCCACAGTGCTTCCCTTGAACTCTCAAAAAAATGACTATCTCGTGTGGATCTATGTCTTTATTTCTGCAACATATCAATGGCTTCTCAATCCAGATTTGAAAAAGCTAATGTATTTTTTCCGCCTTGAACTTCACAGCTCAACAAACCCCGACACCGAGCAATGAAGAATCCAATCAACGCTTGGGCGAGGTCATGAATTTCACCCGGACCGAGGTTATACCCGGGCTTTCTCTACCCGAACTTCAGCACGGTTCATCATCCCAGAGTCGCGTTGTGTTTTCTCAACGCGTCATCAACAGATCAAGGTCTCAATCCGTACCTTGCTACTTTCCTCAACCTTCTCCACTTCATCGAACTCGGACTTACTCTTCTTCAAGTAATTCTCAATTACACCGGAGCCCTTTATCAATCTTTCAAACCATACAACACCTGTAAGTCTTTGTTTTGAAAGACTTGGTTACATTCTGATTGTAAGATTGATTTTTCTTATATTGTTTACCATTGTGAAATAGATATGGAGAGGAATCGGAAAGTGATATTTCAGTTTGTGACACTGCAATATCTGTCTCTACTGATGATTCAAGAAGCAACTCGGATGAAACTCAGATCTCTGAAGCGACAACAACCGGCGATGATGAATCATCCCTCAACTCAAAGGCTGATCAATTCTTTGATGAGGATGTAGTCTTTTCTCCAGTTCCATCCATCATTACTAGGCCTATCAATTTTTCTTTCATCGAACGAGTCAAACGGGAAGATGCTAAAAGAAGGATTGTGAAGATGGTAGAGAAAGAGCCTGTTGCAGTACCCAAAGTTCTCAATGCCAAGTGTGATGGTATACCTCTTGCTGTAAAGCAAGACATCATTACTTGGTTAATTGACGTACGTTGATTTTTCTTCTTCATCTTGGCATCAACGTGGTGCTGATATTCTTTGATATGAATAGTTCGAACATGGGTTCAACGACTATCCAAGTATATCCATCCCTACAAGACACCGAGCCATTATACTGTTTCATCAGTTTTGTGCTTTGGATACCATGTCGAACATCGATACCGATCGGATCAAACTCCGAGCTCATCGGATCGGTGTGGCTTGTCTTACATTGGCATGTAAGGTAGACATTGATTTCTTGGCACCATTAGAGGTGATTCCATTGTTATTATGGGAATGGAGTATAGCGAATTCTGGTTGGGTTTATATCTACGCTGAACAAATTGGGGTTAGTAAACTCTCTTACTTCATAGTTGATTTATAGAAGGTTTCCTGACTGTTGATTTTCTTGAACTACTTATCAGATGTTCGAGCAGATTATCTTGGAGACCTTGTCCTATCACGTTATATTCCCCACACCGTGCGATTTTCTTACTGAGCTTTTAATTGCTATACCCATGTTGGAAAATCTTGTCTATCATTGTGTAGAGGATTGGAAGCTTGTGGAAGAAGCGTTCAGTTTGATATACGAGCACGCGTATCATCGTGCGTTTTTCTTACATTTTTCAGTTGATCATGATGGGTTACTGATGATTCGGAAATCCGTTAGCAGATTCGGGATATCCTGATCATCGGCCATATGTTCTTACAGTCGGCGTCTTACTAACTTGTTTGGATGAATGTATCTTTGATTATCCTCATTCACAAACCGTGGAACTTGGTCAAGTTTGGTGGAGAGATACGGACGGAGATTGGACAGAAACAAGGGTGAAGGATTCCTTGGAACAGGTATCGTATAATATCGCTAGTGATAGGAAGATGGGAGAATGGGTTCATCTGAGTGAGGAAGTCATTAAGACTTCAATCTGTGAGATCATGGGATTGAAGGAGGTTTGTCTTTTTTTCTTTCAGACTTATCCTCGGCAGCTTATTCAAAATTTCTCATTGTTAGTCATGACTGACATGAAGCTTTTTTTGGCGTTTTTTTAAAGTCTGAGGTAGACCAGTGTAAAAAGTGGTGTGCGGCTCTTTAATCAAAAGCGCCTTTTCTATCTTTGTGTATAAAAAATTTGCCTTACTTTCTTATCTTAGATCATCTTTTTCTTTGATTTGTTTCGTTATATATTTATCTCCTCGTCTTTTTGGATTGTTTGTGTACAAACAAAGATGATAATGGTGCGACAGCTTCAGTTTTTATGGTTGCCAATGAAAATGACCATTGTCAAGTTTATTGACGGTTTGTATTTTTTTGAGTACTGAAACATTGTCCTTGGGTGATCAAAATGTGTTCAGTTTATATCCTACGCAAAATTGAACTCCATGCAAGTGTTTTACACCGTGGGCCCCTTACCAACAAACCAACTGATTTTTTTTTAGTGTAACATTGCAAACTTGATAAGCTTAAGTTTCCTCTCTCCTTACGAGGTGTTGGGGATCTTCTCAAGCGGGGATTCACCGTTTCCTGCTTTTCTTGCTAATCAATCCAACCTGGCCTCTCCATGTAAAATGTTTGCCATTTGCGGGATACAAAGTAGAAGCCGGGCACATGCCCGGCTTCGTGCCCGGAAATATTTTGGCAGTAAATTTTGATTCTCTGGGCAAAAGTCCAGGCCCAGAATTCAAATTTACTGCCAAAAAAACTCTGGGCATGAAGCCGGGCATGTGCCAGGCTTCTACTTTGTATCCCATAATTGTTCTCTACATGTGCCCATACACCCATATCAAAAGTATCTTGGTTGATTAGTGCTTTCTGGCTGTTTAAAGCTTGTGACTACTGAAGGGCATTGAGAGGACCCTGAAAAGCTCCTGCAGGGGTCCCTGATGAGAATGCTCAGGTTTGGGCCATAAATCCTGCAAAAGTACCTATTTACAATGGTCAGGTTTTGGTCAAAATGTTTGGGCATCAAAAAAGTCCTACCTGGTCTCAAGATCCGTCAAAGAAGTTGAAGTAGCAGTCTTGGATATGAAGCCTTTCAAAGTTTGTTTGATAGTGATATCATCAGCACTCCGAACCCAATTGAGCCCAAGAAAATTGGGATCATCATCAAAAATTGTGTCAGTCTTGTCATTATCATTATGATTGATTGGGAACAAACTGAGGATGTGATTGTAGGTTCTTTATTGGGTTGCACTCTGGTTGTTTACCAGCGCCAAAGTGGGAAATACTGTCTTGTGAATACTGCAAGCTCTAAAAAGGAGACATATGAGGTCACATCTTGTTCTTTCACCCAGATTTGCCAGTTGCCACTTCCACCAAGAAAGGGAAGGGAGGTCAACTTTGCCCTCCTGGCTGCAACATATCTGGCTTAGATTTACCCATCATCCACTGGCTTGGACTTTCTGTCTCTGAACAGGGGTTGCTCCTCAGTCCCAATGGCTATCAGTGATATGTGGGGAGGCTTCACTATCAACCACTTGATCAGTCAGTTCAAGGCCAAACTCTCAAAAAACCCATCATGCAGAGCTTGACACCAATCAAAAAAGAGTGATTTACACACACTGTCTTTACATTTTCAACATTTCCAGCAAATTTTCTTTTCTTTGTTTTTTATCCAAGAAAAAATCTTCTCTTACTGCTATCATTTACCAAAACTACTATTGAATCAAAAGCCAGTGCTGGTTTGTGTTGTAATTTCATATTCCACCTCTTTTCAAGTTTCCCAATGAAAATGATTGGGGTTTGACCCAAAAAATCCGAGTTTATACTTGGCTTTTGAAGATGGTCAGGTTTGAGCTTTCCAGGGTCTTGCTCCAAAACAAAACTCCCAATTTGATTTCCGCCTACTAAGGCTACCCCAGCTCATGGAATTCATGAAAACCTGTGATATACTCCAGACTGTGTACAGCCCCCTCCAAGAGGTTTATGAGATACTGTATGCAACTGCAAGTTCAAAGGTTTCAAATAACTTATAGATGTCTACATATAGCTACAAGCTACATTGGGCAATCAGCAGTCTGAAAGTAACATTTGAGATGCATGCTATGATTGAAAAAAGTTTACAATCTTTAAATTTGTGATTGAAATCTCTTTAAACAAAGATTGCACCACAAAAATTCAGGTCACAGAGTCTATTCAAGTTGTGTGGTCAAGTGGAAAACATAAATTATTCCTGCACCTGGGGTCATGTCATGGTTACATGACATGTATTCTTTTATCACAGTGTTGCTAGCCATACCAGCACTATTGTATATGCGTGTGAATGGTCCAATGAATATAGAGTGTATACAGGATGTGGGGTCCTGTATGCCACACAAATGCACCAAGTCCTGAAATGCATCCAGGCCTGTGCAACCAGGTATGCACTGCATGACCTCAATTTGTCCAGTGTGGATCTTCTTGGGCACAAGATCAGATTGTTCAGATTGTTTCTTGAACTCAAAATCAATGCAAGCTTTTCCATGAAGGCATGGTATTACAAGCACAACCTAACTTGATGGAAGTTGTGCACAAGTGCCACAATTGACAAAAGTTGTGGCTTGGACACTACAATTGTTCAATTGAATTCCACTCATGTCTCAATCATTCCTGTAGTGTCATCAACAACAATATATTGGTGGATTCAACCAACAATTTGTGGATTTTGATTCTCTTCCTCTTCAGTTGCTTCTAATCATTATCCAATTGCTTTTATAGAGATAAATTTTCAGATTTTTATGTGTGACTTTTTTTATCACTTCTTTGAACAGAACTCAAACTCACAATATCTTAAGGTGTCATCATCAAGATCTACCAATCACTGTGTATCATCATATGGGGTAAAACAGAGTTTACCAGCGAGATCTATTTCAAGGATTTTCTTGGAGTGTCAGACAAGTAATGCCAGATACTTAGTGATAAACAAAGCTTGTTGTGAAAATCTGTGTAGAAAAAATTGTTGCTGAATTCTTTTGTATTGCAATTCTGAAGGTTGAGGGCAGCCTCTGAGCACTTGTAGATTGCAGCACAACATTGGTGGTGTCTTGCCAGTGGTCTTGCCCCTCTGTGGCTCAGTATGTCAAGGCATTGGTTTCTGTGGTCATCTTGCTATCTTACAGTTGTGGTACTCAATTTCACTGGATCCTGTGGAATACCTTGCCCAACAGCACCAGTGCTCAACAGTCTCCATGGAAGTTAACAATCTGATCAATCATCAATATACACATAGTCTTTTCCACCTATTTCTGGGATTCTTCAGAAGGAAGATGAAGATGGGATGGTTTTGCATTGAGATGGAAGTGATTTTCAGATAACCTGTTCAGCTAGTCCAGTATAATCAATACTTCAGAGTCCAAGAATTGGGAACATCACAGAGGAGCATTTCTAATGCTGTGGAATGTCACAGAAGCCAATCTTGAGCTGCAGCTGTGCATATGAACACTTTATACAAAATCTATGCAGATCCTATTATCCTCTACTCTGAGTGCACTCTACAATGAACTTCAAGCCACTGAAAACATGCTGAAAACATTCTTGAACAACCCATGTGTCCTGGCCTGCCAATAACCAGTGATTGGATGCATATTGAGGTTAGCTGAGCACAAATCCTCTTTCAAAATCTGTGAGTTCCATGCACTCAGTTCTGGTCAGCTTGTTTGACTTAAGAGGTGAATATTGGGAATCAAGACTCAGAGCACACATGAAGTTTCTCACCATTCCGCTTTGGTCTGATTATACCCGCATGGTGTTTTGGTTTAACACTTCTGGCTTTGGGACCGGCTCTGGTCTTCGGGTATGACAACTCGAATTCATGATTCAGTTTGTTCAAGACCCTTCAGACATCGTTCATCAGACTTCCTTTTATAACCATCTTACATATATCACTCTGAACATCATAAGATCACTGCATTATGGTCACTGGACAACTGACTCGTTCGGAGGCCGAATCAGCTCTGAGACGACTTCAAGGTTTACGTGACGATTGGGAGAGACAACGAACGCGTTGGTCGGATCATCATCAAAAAGCCTTGGATATTAAAAACTTACAACGTAATCCAAGTGCACCCTTGTTATATACTGTCGAGGTTTGTTGTAACCAGATGGGAATTGCTACGATACGATTTAGTTGAGTGTTTTTCTTACCTGTTGATCTCCAACCATCTTAGGCTGACTTTACCTTTTCTCTTTTCGTTCTCTTACTTGACAGATGAGCTTGTACGCTTAATCCAAGACTTTCGAGCTTGTGCACTTTACCTCGTTCATCTACCGATTCCAGAAGGACCTGATGCCTCCTTTCGATCCGCCTTACCTGACCTTTGGAGTATACCTCATGCCGCACCGGGAACTCAAGCCGTGGCCCTTCCTGGACAAGTGGCGGGTTTCTCAGCTGAGATGGCTAATGCCAATACCGTTCAAGGATTGAGTAACGATATCATGATGTACAACAATGGATATGGTCAAGATAGTATGATGAATAATCAGATGCAAAATGGTGGCTTTGGGATGCCAGGCATGATGAATGGAATGATGCCTATGCAGCCTCAGCAAACAAACATGGGACAGTCCATGCAGCCTCAACAAGCGAACATGGGCCAACCAATGGGCTTCGTCTCTAATCCAACCTACGGAATGCAAAACACTGGAATGGCCAATAACTTTATGCAACCCACCTCTAGCCCTTACTCATCTCAGCCTTTACCACCTCAGCATACTCAAGCGCTTTACCAACAGCAAACGGGCTTTCATCAGCAGAATGCTCAACAGGCTAGGGTTAATCAATTTGCTTCCAATGTTTTCCAGCCTTCTCCAGGCTTCAATCCTCAGCAAGCCAGCGGTAACAACAATTATCAGAATGCGAGTCCTCTCAATCCCTACAATCCCAACCCGCCACACCAGTCTGTCTTGAATGCCAGCAATCGCTTCCCGGCTGTCCAATGATGAACGTCATCTTAGTGTAGATCTAGTGAAACATCCTGGGGTACGCGTCCGATCCAAGACCTGACCGGTTTCCAGTAGCATCTGGGTGACTCTTTTTTTGCTCTTTTTCCGCAAATTCATGATTCTACACGCAATACATGTTGTATGTTTAGTTTCAAGCCCATTTTGCATTCAGGGTATCACGTCCAAACATTTTTCTGTAATTGTACAAAGCTTTCAAACCTTTCGATACCAGAAGAAGTCCCTGTTGAGTCGAAAGAGGCTACCGGTGGCAATGTTCCACACAAAGACAAATAAACAGGACGATTACGTATCATTCCCCGAAGGACAGAATTATGAGAGCAACCAGACGGAAGTACAAATATGACATATGATAGTAGAGATCAAGGCAAGAGATGCCAAACGTACGAGGAGTAGGATAGGTTATCACAGACACAATGGAAGCAATCACATATTTAAGTCAGTGTACATGATGAAAAAAATGAAACTTTGCATTGACTCTTGCTACAGCCTCTTGAGTTTTTGAGCCGTAGATAGAAATGCAATGTAAGAGAGGTAATTACCCAGAGTTGGCCTGGCTGGTTAACTTGGGAGAACAAGATGAAGAGTTAGAAGTCTTGATCGAATCGAGAAATTCTTGGACTTCATCTGCTTGATTTTGAACAATTTGCATCGCATTATCGGTATCGTAGAGATCATACCATCCATCAGCCTATGAGAAAAATATTGATCATCAGCGATTTGATATTCTCATGGGGAATGTACTGAATACTGTACCTCGTGAGGTGGGTCCCCTGAAAGTATCAAGAAAAAGACATTCAGCAATTTCGGATCGATCTCTGAACTCAACTTTGTTCACTTACCTGCCCAAGACATGTTAAATTTGTTTTTAGCGTCTGTTGGTCTCCAGATCCCACCATATGCCCATGGCCTGATCGATTTCAAAAAAACTTCAAGTCAATACATAATAGGAATGAGTAAAGAAAAAGGGTCGACTAACCCAGTACCATGCCACCCCAAGCCCTTCTTGTAGTAATCTACTACACTCGAGATCACAAACTTGAAATAGCGATCCTTATGAGTCGTGTTGGCCTCCGCACTATTATTCTCACAGAAAAATGACGTAAATCGGTTTCAATGACGAAAACGAGTATGTGCTGAGGGAGAAAGAATCGAGAACTGACCTGTAGAGATAATATTGAGTGGGTGCTCCTTTTGCTACATTCTCCCAATTGTCTCTTGCCATTCCGAATTCTTCGAGAATGACCGGCTGTATCAGCATCATGTTTTCAGTTTATCGAATCGACTTTACTCTTTGAAAAACAAGTGATGATTCAGGAAGGAACTATAACCTTCTTGAGATCCAAACTCCATTGACTCAGATTTCGAAGGAACCCAGTTGCAAAACTCTCAGCAAGAGTTAAGTTACCGTCAGTGGGATCCAAAGGATCATAGTAACCCTTCGTGCAATGCGATTGTCAGTCTTCGCATATATTTTGAATATACCACAAGTCTTACCCAGTTCTGTACCCAGAGATGTCTAAAAAAACAATCACAACCTCAGTTCAACATTATTTTGAGAGGTACAACAGTAGTCAAAGACTGCATACCCGCAAGCATAGTCGATCACGTCAGGAGCATGGACTCGTTTGAACCACCATTCGCCATTTTTACCTTCAAAACCGACAGTAACGAGTTGATGTGGAGCCAAGGATTTAATATACTTGGCCGAATCCACCACCCTAAACGCATGCTCACAATGATTAGCTTCTTGCGTTGACCAACATGCGTGCTGAAGATGTCACTTACCAACTCAGAGGTGGCTCTTGAGGTTCGTTGGTAAGCTCCCATGTCATGATGGTTGGATCATCCTTGTAAGCCACTCCGGTGATAGTATTGACTCGATTGATGACTTTGAATATGTGATTACGGAACCAAGTTTGGGTAGTGTTGGTAATCGAAGTGTCGTTGCTGTGGGATAAGCAGGGCGGCGGCAATCAACATGGTGACATGATTTAAAATCGCACTGTTTAGCTTCAAGGGTACACATACTAGAACCTTGCGCTAAACTGCGTAAATTCGTCGTATGTGCCATTCGTGGTGTAGTCCCCGTAAGGCGGGTTGAGGGCTGGGTCCCACCTTTCGAACAGCCGGGCAAAATACGGTTCCAGAGAACTAGTCAGTTTGGTGGAAGTACAAACACCAAAAAAGCAGAAAAAACTCACGAAGGCGGATACGGGATTTCTGAATCTGAGGTGGCCCAACTCACGTATTGAGAGTAGCCTCCAGACCTAGGATTCAGAGATACAAAGGGATATTGAAGCACACGAGTCAATTGATGATGCCGGGACGTGAGCCAATGAATAATATCAACTGAGAAAGAAGGAATGAATGAGGATTTACCATTGCCAGAAGTTATGAAGAGTCATGATGACGCTTATGTCATGTTTAGCAAATTCGACCAAGGCACGATCGAGTCCGACAAAAATCTCCTCGTTGTCTGTGTTGACCAATATCTTGAGATCAAAAACTCAACTTCACAGTTTGTAAGACTAGTGAATAGACTTACAAACGCCGGGTGATTCTTGGAGAGCAGGATACATTCTAAAGGGTTGAATACCACGTCCGGAAGCCTCTGATGCAGCCATCTAAAGTCAAGTGACATATTGGTTTTATTAAATGATATGCATTTGAAGTGCAAAAAAGGGAAACTTACGATTCGGACATTGTTAACACCTCGATCGGCCATTTGTTTGACTTCGGTTTGAAACCTGCTCAAGTTGCCACCTGCCACATCACTCGCGGCCAAATTCCTGATAGTGACATTGAATCTCAGCCGCGTGTCTTGAACGTACCGACACAAACAGGCTTACATCGCAGACCAATAGTTCATGGAGACCAGATAGGTGGGCTCGCAATCTTTGTAAAACGTTCCATTCTTGACACTGATAAAATTTTCTTTAGAAGATCGACTTGGATGAGCTTGGGTAAGAGGTAGCCCAATGTTACTGATCAAGTAGAGTAGAAGCGGGAAGGTGGTTGGCCAAAACGAGGCCATGATGTTGGTTTTAGAAATTTTCAGAACGAAGATAGGAAAGAGTTCGTTGTAACTTCAACGTTCGCTCAAGAAAACAAGATGGTCCCGTATTCAAAAGGGGCGTGGTGGTCGAACGAAAGCTTGATATTTATATGCTGGCATGGGATATTTTGAGCTATGAATATCTATATTTAGAGTTCAAATAAGGAGATGGAAAAAAGCAGTGAGTTGAGCATGAAGATTTCGAAGGATGCTCGCGAACTGACTCACTTAGCAGAGGTCAGCAGTATACTCCACCATGCACAGCAACCCACAGCAAGGGAATATCAAATGACTTTCTGAAGATGGTGGGTGGTCTGTATCAGTCTGTAACCTTTGTAGGCTTGGACCACCTGACTTGAAGGAGTTGAACTTGAAGGCTTTGTTTGGAATCTTTCACAATTCGGCGTCCATTTTTCTCTTCACTTTGTTTTGGATGGCCATGACGTCGAGGTTCAGTGATGTGTACAGTCCCGGAAGCAAAACAACTTTGGTTGAAGCCAGTTGAAGTTTCACCAATCACCTGACTTTGCCACCTGGGCAAGAGAGGCGCTTGTCTCGTCAATTTCCCTCAATCAGTCAATCACTTTCTTTACTCGTCTCAATTACCCAACAATTGCCGGGTGAAGTACAGCACGTGGTCAATTCGTAACTTCTTGATACCACTTGCATTTGTGGACCATCACATGGCGAGTTCGAGTTCAGGCAGACAATGACAAGGCAATTGGAACGTTATATTTATCCTGAATATTTTTTTGGAAGAGTTGGTCGAGCAGTAAATTGAAATGGGGCAAGATAGTTGATTGACAATATCATCATACTTGCATTATCACCTTTTGCTCTATCTCTCCAAGCCGTTCATGACAACAAGAATCTCTGAAACAATGTCATTCAAAACATTTTGCAACAAAAAATATGTACATAACTGGTTACTGCCAACAAAAAAAGACTTGTACAAGAGATGCTAAGAGACGTTCTTCATGTCCAGCGTTGGTTTTGAAGACTTTCTGACCATTTTCATTTAACAACAATACACCAACACCACCGTTTGAAACACATCACAGAGGCACAATAAAAACTATACATCTTAAGCTCTAAAACACAAGAGACAAGTAAAGAAAAAGCTGGGAAGTGAATAAGGACAACTGGCAAACAATGAGGTTTGATAAAGTAAAGAAGGATGAAAGAAACAGGAGGAAACCAGTCCATGATGGGCATCCTGACTTCAACTTCAACTGCCAACTACTTTTTCTCCTCTCAAAATCAAAATTTATTTACACAGCTATGATTCAAGATGAGTCATTAGGGGGTTTCAAGTTTGATTTTTTTTGCGTAATTTTTAAAAAATCGGGCAAGTTTTTCGCAAAAATAATCTACGTAAAACCAACGTATCCTCAAATCGGGACACCTAAAAAGGTGTCCCGCTTTAAAAAAAAATACGCATATTTTACAACAACGGGCAAGTTGTTGTAGCGTAAAAATACGTAAAAAAGGTTAACTTGAAACCCCCTATTGACTCACAGTACCAATAATTTTACCAACTGGTTCCAATCAAGTTTTTGGAACATAATTTGATTAAAAAAATGACTCACCAAGATTGTTAACCTGAGATCTGAATGCTTGAAACCAATGAACTCATATCTCAAAAATTCACCTTGTTGGAAAATATACTACATCAACTTCTCTTATGTGAAACTAGAATAATGGTTCAAGGATGCTTTAGCCAAACAAAAATAACAAAAACCAAACCAATATAAATCAATATACTACATGTTTGATTAAATTCTCTAAACTACACACCTCCTTTATCTGAGAGGCCTTCACACTTCAAAATATATGACTCAGAAATGACCTGTTAAACAAAAGTATGATTATTTATTGAGATTTGATATTGTTTCTGGATCATATGTATGTAGCACAGCCATAATTATCATTATGGGTGGTAGTTCAATGATTCACTTAATGTTTGTACCAGTGCAATTACTTGTAAACATCACATACAATGATGTTTCAAAAATATGTTATAAAATATTTCATCAGTTTTGATCATTTATCCATTGTGGGAAGCCTATATCTGACATCATGCGGGCTTGTTACTTGTTACTTGTTGCAGACGTGCTGACCGTGTACGCATCGGAGTCTCTGTTGGGGGGCATTACGTCATTGGCACTATAGCTCAGTTGGTAGAGCGCCTGCTTAACACTTGTGTACGCATGTTGTCCTGGGTTCGAGCCCCAGTGGAGTCAAGCCAAACCATGGGTTCAGCCCATGCCACATTTCTTTTAGTGAACTGATCTACTTTATCTAGTGAACTATGATTCACAAACTTCACCAGTCTCTCTGCCTTTAAAAAAAGTTTGGATTACCTCAAGATCAGGATGAGCCCCGACCCCCAAATGCCGGGGATCAAGCTGCCTGGCTCCCCAACTTCTTTTTGAAAGTCAGAACGGCGACCGACCTCGCCGTTCCCCAAGGATTTGTTTCCTCTGAGATCCAGAACAACTCCCGGACCCTGACCCCCAACAGGAATCGCCGGGTTACGGGGAATTACCAGGGATCCCCAATTCCCCGGAGATTTCTGGGAAAAATTGCTGATCCATGAGTGTGCTGAGTTGAGACTTGACTTCAATTCTGCTTTCCATTGCCCAAAGGTTATTGAAGAGATAGACATGTATCAACAAGAGCCCAGTGTCAAAGTCCTCTGGTCTTCACTGTATTATTTGGTCATCCTCTTTTATTGCCCACAGCCTTTCAAGAATTGTTCAAGAGCTTTTAAGAGAAATATCCGTCAAATCACAAATACAAACTCAAGCCATCTTAATTAGCCTTTCACCAAGTTGGACCCCCACTGTTCAGCGCTATAAATCACTTCACCCTTGCACATTTCCCCCACCAATTAGTTTGAATCAATTCTTTCTTCCGCTCATCAAGATGTTTTGCCTGAATCAATATGTTGAAGGATCTTGTTCACCGCAATTCCATATCATTCTGCTTATTGTCCTCTTGGCTCACTTTACGTTTTCTCAAGTTGTCAATGTGACCAACACACCTGTCTTGAACTCAACTCAAACACCTAAGGCCTTTTGCCTTGGGTTCCCCAAGGAAAATCACTTTTTTGGCCTCTCAGAACAACCCCCGGGACTGACTATCCCCGCAGGTCTGGGACCCTTCGGTGGCCAGAACGCCCCCCCCGTTCTGCCGGGGAGGACCGCAGGGATCCCCAATTTGTTGGGTCTTGGGGCTCATCGTGACCTCAAGATGCCTTCTGTATTGTAAATGGTATGTTCAGCTGTTACAAATTGAAGGACTTCAGTGGTGTTGCGGCCAATGCCGGAACCAATCCGACACAGATGTCGGTATCGGATTGGTTTGGTGTCGCCAACCCGACACCAAAAATCGGATTTTCACATATGGGTTCACCCGACCCGATATGGGGAGTGGGGTTTTTCCATATCGGGTATCGCCCACACGATATCAGGCATGAACCAATATGAGATAGCTTCATGTCGCTATCTCATGCCTATAATGAATCGATTCCTGAATCCTGCATCGACCTGCGTTCAACTTCCACCCACCACTGGCACCAACAATCATCGGTTAGCTTCAGCCTCGAAGCTAAACACTGTGGACGATCTTTCAAGTCAACTCACGATGCCCCTCGAGTGGCTTGGCCACCTGTCGCCTGATCTGACTCACATGTTGTCATCCGATTCCTCATTCTCATTCTTAGATCACTCTCAGATTTGAATCAGATGGTGGCTTGAGTCTGAGTTCCAAAAGGTCAGGGGTTTATTTATTCTACTACATAATATCCTTGCTCCAACGTTTATGCTTTGACTGCTTCCCTTCTAGTACTACGACATCCACAAATCATCGTTATTGATCTCCCTCAAGTCAAACCTGACTCGCACCATGGCATCCACACACCCCACCCAATCAGAACCATCATCTCAGCCTATCTCAAATGATGACGGTGAATCTACTACCATCACCGTTACGAATCCCAGTACGCAGAAACGCAAACAAAGATGTTCGACCCAAACCGGAACGCAGAAGAAACGCAGAGCAGTGCCACTGCCAGTATGTCACGCTTATTCTCTTCCATTTTTTATTTTTATTTTTTGCTTATTACTTTTATTTCGATTTCTACCATACAAAACTAGAAATCGAAACAGGATTATGTCCCAGATGGTCTGGATGTTGACCGGGACTCCGACATAGAGATTACCGGAGAAACACAACCTGTACATAAACCGGAGGCGCGCACTGAACGTGTACGAGAGCTCCTCAAGTATTATGAAGATCCAATCAAATGCCCAGAGGAAGTAAGCGCTTGCCTCCTACATCAATTGTTCACTAGTTGATTTACATTGGTTGTTTTGTAAATGTGATCGATCAGAGAGGCAGTGGGATATTGCGATATTACAGATGCCGGTTTTGTACCAAATCGTTTGCCAAACCGCCAAATACTTATCAGACTCTTTACGACCACCGCGATGGAGCCGAAACTCGACCAGTCTGCTTGAAACGAAATGTGGCTATCAAGCAAGGATTGAAGCTCGATAAAACTTGGTCGGAGCAACAGAAGGCTAAAAA